ATCAATCATTAATACTGGAGGGGGGAGGGCGGTGGGTGAGAAAAGGGGGAGGCTTCAACTATTGCGTCATCCCCACTGGTCATTCCATGCAGTGCTTCCACTTGCAAGGAAATTTCTTTGCAAAAAAAATAAAATTTACCAGAAAACGGCAAGGAATTTTGTTTTCAGCAAGGAAATAAGGATCATATTACGTTATTTCTAATAAATCCTAAGATTATAGCAATTCCCAAGCAAATTCGCGTCAGAAAATGTCAAAAATCCAAATCCTATTAATGGGGAATAGAAAATCTGAAAAATTTCTGAGGGATGACCTCAAGCCTCCTGTTGAAGTTTCTTTATAATTAATTTATAATTTATAATTGCAACATTCATGGTGTTTCTCGCCCGAGAAACACACCGTCAATCAGGATAAATTATTGTAATATCAGTTTTAACACTAGGCCGGTGCAAGGAATGTCAAAAATAAGGAAATTTTTAGCAGTTGGGAACGAAATTCTTTTTTTGGGAGCGGAAGCACTGAATTTACACCGCCATATTTTTTATAATCAGTTCGTGATGGCTTGTGATTTCGAAGTTACAATATTTCGCTCGATATTTCGAGCCGATGAATTAATAAGCGAAGACGAAACATCAGGTCACTATAAGTTTCCGAAAGTTCAATATCAGAGCGACTTTTGTAATTACGATTTTATTAAACTTTATAAACTGCTAAACTGGCTAGTCATATACAAACTTAGAAGCCAAAATATGCAATGAATCAATTCAGTATTTTATATAGGCTGAATTCTGTAATCTTCAATTAGTATTTATAACTATTATCTGTACCCGCAGTAATGTACACTGTAACTTTATGACTTAGATTCTTGCACTTCACTTGGTGGAATTAATATTAGGATGTTAGGGTTTGTAATCCAAGTGAGAATATATACATTTTAAGACCTATAACCAGGAACGACTGCGAAAAATGCAGCACAAGGTCCTCTGGTAGGAATTGAACCTACGGCCCTGCGATTCCGGTGCAGCGCTCTAACCAACTGAGCATACTCAGTTAAAGTATACTCAGTTGGTTAGAGCAC